TAAAGCAATGTTTGTGTTTTCAATGGTTAGTTAGTTAATCAATCTTAAATCGGGTCAGATCCAGAATTTAATATGTTGTGGACATAGGTCCAATGGTTATGTTCTCAGTGTTTCATGTTCAGTATGAAGTCAAGTGTTCAAACCCAAATTATGTGCAGGAAACCAATTCAGTTTTAAACTTGAATATGCTCATGCAATAATTACAACCTCTACAAGCCCAGGACATTCTACATGTTCCAAAGAGTTTTGTATTAGAGTCAAGTCAAGCCCCCAGAAATGATGAAGGGAAAATAAGGATGTTCTCCTTTCTGTCGGTGACTTGACTCTCAGACTTCAGTTCCCACAACACTAAGATGTGAAAACATTAGGTGTGTGTTTGTAGTTTAATGTGAGGCATGTATAATGCAGAAACCCTATAAGCACAGTAAAAATCACTGCAATATAGACAAGATAATTGCACAGTGGTTATAAACGTATTCTAAACATCTCAAGATAAATATGTTTCTGTGAAGTGCATTTAAGACACAATAAAATATCCATCAGGTAGTTCTTGGGACATTTTTCAAACAAACAAACAAACAAACAAACAAACAAACAAACAAACAAACAAACATACATGCACACACACAATTACATGATTGCCCACCTTTCCTGCTGGCAAGTGAAAATGTCAGAAAATAATAATAACAAGAATAAACAAAAAAATACAAAAAATAAATAAAACAGGACAAAAACATCATCAAAAACATCATGACATGCAAAAGCTTAGAGACAAATTAGGCATTTATTTTCTAATCTGTTTCAAGTCGAGCCGGCTGACACCAACATCATGGAACAAGTTACTCATGGCCTGATTGTGGTAATTTACTGGTCTTCTTGATTTTGCGACAATTGTTTAAATTGTAGGCTTGAGGGAATGAATGTTGTTTATTGTGAAAGCACAGATGTCCTGGTTTGATAATTACTACTGAGAACATTGTGTATAAAAGACAAATCACACAACTCTTGTTGAACAAACCCTTAGTGATTTATGGTCTCTGTCTGTCTGTCTATAGTTTTCAGGAACGTGCATACTGACACTGAAGTACCACATCTGCCTCCAGTGATAATTATTCTTTTGTTCAGCGAAGGCACCCCACTGACACCCCCAAGTGTCAAATCTGACATCACAGAGCAATTTGCTGAAGCCACATTTTTCTGCACAGCTCACCCAAATGATGCTTAAAGATCTGCAACGGCACAGGCAGTAACGACACATCCTTGCTTGAAGGAGCTGGGATTTAATGGATTTTACATGGCAGAAAAGCCAGAAGTACAAATGTGGTAACTACTGGATAAAACTTACTAAAACAAGAAGGAACCAAAAAATGGCAGAAGTAAATTACCTGCTCACACACACCTGGTAATATAGACAGCACTGTTTAGCAGCCAAGACCTGACTTGCAGCCACCAAGAAAAGGGATGGCATCAGGAACCAACATTACTGTACATGGTCAAGACAAACTGTTGGAGAGGAAATTAAAAGATTCCCCAGGAGTGGCAGAATTTAGTAGGGAAACAGCTCTATTTGTTAAATAAATAATCTTCATTTACTTTATTGGGCGTTCAAAATATTTCTTTTTCTTTTCTAGATTTTAGAATTGATTAAGTTAGCATAAATACTGAAGGGTTGTTGATACTCTCTGCTCTCTAAATTTCCCAGATAAACACTTGCTGTCTTGAAGACAAAAGTAGAGTTTCAGAGTCAGCATGCTGTTCCACTGGGATCAGTGTTTATGTCTCGGTACAGATACACTCCCAAGCTTCTGGAGCTTTTTCAGTCATAAAGGTGGTATTTCACTAAGCGCCAAATGTTGGCAACTAGTTGGCAATTCAAAATTGTGAAAACCAATGCATGACTTTTCCATCACGGTCCAACTGAACCCTGAATGACAAAGTGACATTTTGTCAAACGACCAGTTTTAAAAATTAAAATATTTTTGAGTGCAAGGCTTGTAAAGTCGTATTCTTGGTTGTGCACATTATTTTTGTTGTCCACCATCACCCACAGCATACTAGTCTCAGATCTTTGTTCCCATCTTGGCACTTGCCCCCACATTTAAGATTTTAATTTCACTTCTACGGGTGGATAGGCAGATTTAAACCAGTTTCTAGTTTTTTAGGGCAGTTGTGGCAGAGTGGTTAGGGGAGTCATCCTGGAACCGGAAGGTCYCCGGCTCAATCCCCCGTCCAGCGGTRTCAGTTGTTGTGTCCTTGGGCAAGATACTTCACCACTAATGCCTCTGATGTGTGTCCCATCAGTGTATGAATGTGATTGGCACTGATTAGTCTCCATAGATGATTGTGCATGTTAGCTTTGTAGAGACCTAAATGAGGACACATATTGTAGTGTGAAGTGCTTTGTGTCCTGGATGGATAGAAAAGTGCTATATAAGTACAGGGCAATTGCTTTGGCTGTTTTCTATCTGAGTAGAGCTCTCATGCAGGTGTCAAGCTAACAGCTCCAGCTCAAATGATTTCGAGACACCTACAATAATGTGACTATTTAAGGGAAAAGTTATGAAACATGTTCACAATTCAAATAACAGAGCTGCTCACCTCTGCCACTCATTTGAAGCAGATGAAAACAGCTTCAAATGTTACAAACCCACTGGAGTCTACAGTGTGGAGGGAAAAAAAAATACAAAACAGAGTCCCATCACCCGATATTATTTGTGCACAAATCTGTCCCAGTTAAAGCTCCACAGTTTTCATCAGTCAGATTCCCCCGTGCACATTTGTTTTATCTCCATCCATGAGGTTTTGGCCAGTTGATTATCTTTATAAATGTCTGCTTCCTGGTAGCTTACAACAGTCAGCTCACCGAACATCAGGTGCTTTGGACTCTTGTGGAGCTGTGGTAGCTCAGTTGTCAGTGTTGTGGTCCTGCAATCCTGAGGCGGCATTGAGTTCAGGATGTGTCAAGAATGGCATCTGGTGTACACACAGCTTGTTTAATGCAACTGACACGAATTGTTTAAAGTAAATGTCCTTGAAATACAGTACCTCAAATGTCAACATGTTGCCACAACCACATTTAAATTGGTGAGACAAAACCAACCAACATTCATAAGTAATTTAATATTCTTTATATACTAAACCACTCTATATAGTACAGGCTCGTATAAGCTATAGTAGACTATACTAGTTTACTACAGCCTTTACAGTTGACCACATTTAAGATGTTTTTTTTCAGTGCATGCCAAAATATTTATCACTGTTACAAACATGGTACCAAAAAAGGCACTTTAAAAATTTCTTGTGATTTCTTTCACTCCAGTTTTGTAAGTTCCATTAGAGTGTAGTTGCACGATGCTTAATGATGTCATTATCTTTTCAGAGACTTCTGGGCAGACCTGAACATGGCTTTGACAAAATATAGCGCTTGCAACAAAAGAGAGCGTTTTCCTGGGGAAATTATTCTGCTTGTTGGTCCTRGATGGTCCAGCTGCTTAAGTTGCGAGAAAATGTGCACAAATGTTTTCTTTAAAACCTTTCGCTTTCTCTCACACAGAAATTCTAATGTGTTGCAAAGATTTTCACCTCCTCTTTGTTAATCTCTCTATTATTGCCTGGAGTTTAGAGTTTTAATATAAATATGCGTAATGTTTCTCCAAAAATGTCAGACTATTAAAGTAATCTATAACTAAAAAGTGGTGCGTGCATAAGTATTCAACCCTCAAAATAAAAAACATGTACAGTATGTGTATGCCCCCTTTCCTGCACCAAGTCTATGCAATGGGTTGACGTCTTCCTTTCATTAATATTTGGAGTCAACTCAACTCAGCATGGCCACCAGCAAAAACAAACAAATGTTTAGAAGTTATAAGGTTTGAAGCTAAAGTTGTCACTTCCCAACATATGATGATCTTAGTATAAAACTCTGGAATGATTACATGTAATAGTTTCTATAATTTATTTAAGGCATGGTGTTTTGGGAAATCATAAATAAAGAATTTAAGTTTCAGTTTTAAAATTATTTAAGTTTTATCTTTTTCAATAACTTTGAGTGGTTTGGAATGTTTTTATTCTTAATCAAATAAGAAAATCAGTTTATTCCCAGTCTTTAAGGCAYAACAAATATTAAGGCAGTCAATACTTTTGCAACTCACTGCAGAAGAGAAAACTGGAACTGCCTCATGATGACCTGCATCTTTCTATCTTTTTATCCAAACAAATCAACAAAATAGTAAAAGTAAAATCAAGAAAATTTAAAAGCCTCTCTTTTTGTACTATTTAGTGCAGTGGTAGGGTAGCTGGTTGGGACCAGAAAGTCACAGGTTCAACTCCCTGCCATGCTTGTGGTGTTCTTGAGCAAGAAAACCTACCCTCAAACAGCTGCCTGCTGCTCCYCTTGGGTGGTTCTCCCGTGTGATGGGTCAAATGCAGAGCACAAATCTCATCATTGTATGAGAACCTACACTGATGACAAATTACATTTTAATGTACGTACATTAACGTGAAATATGAATCATTTCTCTCAAAATGACGCTTTTTTTCTTTTACATTTCCAAATAAAGTTCAGACTGTGACACCACAAGAGGGGGCAGTGAGGACAGAGTCAGGGACATTTAGTGTAACAGCACCACAAGGAGCAATTATTTCCACCAGAATATCCGGGGGTCATGATCAACACAACGTTCCTTCTGGTATATCAACACGTCAGTAACCAGGCTGCTATAATAATAATAATAATAATAATAATAATAATAATAATGAGCTATTTTTGTTTATCTTTGTTCCAGTCATTGCTGAAATTATTTTTGCCCACAGACAAATAATGAGCCATATGAAACAGCAAATGAAATCAGATAAGAGGTMTTTAGGCAGGATAATCCCTTTGGACTCTTTCGAGCGTGCGGTTGGAACAGGCTCCGATGAATAACTCACCTGAGCTCATCCATAATCATGAGCACTAAGCCTGCCCCTCGGACTGATGCGCTCTGACTTGCGCTCTAAACGGGGCTGAGCAGCAGCTCAAAGACAGACGCGACTCTGCTCTCGTGTGAGCTGCTGAGGGAGAGAGCTCTGGCGCTGCGTAAAAGCCGTCTTTACGCACGGTCCTCTGTGGGAAAAAGATTTTTTCCCCGAACCTCATCTAATGATACTGAATTAGTGAAGCCATAGCCCTAAATACAGAGGCGGGTTTTGTGATTATATTTAGTTGGAGAAGAATTCTCTTCTCCAAGCGCACAGGTATTTTGGCACCGGAATCCTAACTTTGTGGTTTAGCGCCTCTTTCCCAACAGCAGAATGGATCCATTATTRGACGCCACCGATTCTCCAAATGTCAGCTCTAACAGCACCAGTAACTGGACGGCTAACTTGAACCAGTTCGTGCAGCCGGTCTGGAGGATCGTCCTCTGGGCCATTGCGTACAGCTGCATAGTTGTCGTGTCCGTGGTGGGCAACGTGACGGTAATCTGGATCATCATGGCGCACAAACGCATGAGGACCGTCACCAACTATTTCCTGCTGAACCTGGCGTTCGCCGAAGTCTCCATGTCCGCCTTCAACACGGTGATCAACTTCACCTACGCGGTGCACAACGAGTGGTATTTCGGACTGGTCTACTGCCGCTTCCACAACTTCTTTCCTATCGCGGCTGTCTTCGCCAGCATCTACTCCATGACGGCCATCGCCTTGGACAGGTAYGCTGAAATGAAAAACAAAATATATACTGAATACGTTTTAAACAAAACAAATATGAATTAAAACAGGCACAAATAACAAACATGTCTTCTGTTTGAAAAGGAAGATTGTAGAAAAAGATGTGAATGATTCATTTGCTCTTAATTAACTTTTGACATCAGTGCAGTTATCCATACTAAGTGTAAAGTGTAGAGTACAACCGATATTTAAAAACTGCATTTCCATACTGTTTTGTCCGTATYCTTTACACATCATTTTAAATCATTGCCCAATTTTGCAAATTCTCTCCACACTGCTGAGCTCATTCTCCTCATTGCTTCAATACTGTTTTTATTAAACTTAGCTCAACTCAAAACCCCCTTCTGTTTCTGTAAATATTTTATAAAATCACTTTCTTCTTTTTTTGATAAAAAAAGAAAATCACTTTCTTCTAATGATTTGTGTCTTAATCTGTAAATTATTGGACCATTTTGAGTTTTACAAGTTCCATAAATTTGAACAAATTGTGTTCCAAATAAACAAGCCTGTGAACTCTCCTTACTCAGGGTGCACAGTGGCTGTAATGTGCTTTTGCAGGTTTTTTTTTACAGAACTTTACACATTAATTGATGTATGATAATACTTCCGAACAACATAAAGTGTGCAATAACTGCTGCTARAGATCATCTAATCAGAATATGAAATTCTCAAACAGCACATTCAAACAGCACCMGGTTTGTCTTTCCTTAGTATTTCCCAACTCTGGAGTATTTACAGRGAAGAGGACTAAACTGGTGTAACGTCTGCAGAAAAGCTGAGATCTCAACAAATTCCTAGGGGGATTCAGACTTCTATATCAGTTGCAAGCAGGTTTTCTGCCTATAGTACTCTGAAAATGTCTTTCTGCAACGAAACTTCAATATAAGGTGTCTTTTTTAATTTAGCATAATTTACACTAAATAAAAATTAAAGATGTGGATAAAGAATACTTAATTCTTTATGTTTTTCTGTCTTGGCTCTGTGTATCTGACTGAGTTGCACAACCCACCAACATAATGTTGACGGTAATGGTTCATTGCCCTCTGYTTCAGCTGTTGCAACAAGACAAACAGGAAACTCAATTAAAGCCATTGAAGGAAGCTGCTAAAAGCAACAAGTTTTTGTGTATAAACTGTAGCTAAGCGTTTACTGCGTGCTGTAAATGTAGCCTTAAGAAACAGATTTGTATTCTCTGTTTTCATCAGTGGACACTARTCTGTGTAGCAGCCCATAATTAATGGACAGCTCCTTCTGACTGCGTTAGGTGATAGAAACTAGTGCAGAAAAAGTCCTCCACTGCTCGTATGCATGGATATATGTAACTTGTTTTTCTTTTGTTTGTGTGAGTTTGCTTGGGGGCAGCGTCAGCTTGGTGGTCCGTTSTGTGATTYTGTAATCCTGAGGCTGCAGGTTTATGTAGGTTGTGTCAGGARGGACATCCGACGTAAAACAATTCATGCGCGTTCACTCGCTGTGGACACCTCTGCAGAGCGAGCAACRGAAAGAAAAAACACATTTTTGTCTGTTCGTTATTATTTTATTAACCTTGCAACTCCCACTGACATCCCACCCTAAGCCCTTTTTCTTTGAGCATAAGTTGGTCTCACAGTTTGAGCACACATTCAAGATGTGAGCACAAGTTTAAGTCTTCGGCCTGTAAAGCCACTGGTAAGATGCATTGCTTTAAGAAAAACTAGTCTTCAGTTTATTATGTTCATATATGGTTCTAAAAAYTGTATGGGTTTTTGCATCTCTGTGCAGTTTTTCTAACCTGTCTGCTGTGATTCTATAGAGTTTGTGTTTTTATTATTCTAGAGTGAAATACATGTGTTTCCTTCCACCATGTCACATCAAGCTCACTGGCTTTAACAGATCATTCGTTTTCTCTCTTTTTTTAATTCTCTCTATTTTTTTCCCGTCCCTGGCCATGGAGCTGAAATGACCTCTAATTGTCTTGTTCAGAATGAAATCCACGATCGTGACCTTTTCTAAGATCAAGTTTGAGCTTTGGTGTGACAGAGCTGAAACGTAAAGAAAGGATTAAAATTTTTCCCCTCACAGGACTGTGTGGGCTCGGGCATTATCATACTCAGAAAAGATGAKAATCAGGAACTGGTTATATGTCCCAAGTTTCTTTTGAACACAAAACTGATCAAATCAAAGTACAAAAGTGATGAATTCTTAGATTCACATGAAGATAAATCTGTAACTTGTGACTTACAGCCACATGTTCCCCCTGATGTTTAGGCACCATTCTGAGTTTCTTTTTGTAAATTCACAACTTGCTTTCACATCTTTGCAGTGGTTAGAACTGRTGCCTCACAACTAGAAGGACACGTTTGTTTCCCAGCATGGGAACTCAGTGTGATAGCCTTCCTGTATTGGTGTGTTTTTTCCCAGGTACTCTGGTTTCCTCCSACAGACTAAAAACATGSAAAGGAACARATTATATGGAAACTGATAACCTTAAATCATCTCTAGACTGTGAATGGTTGTCTCTGTGAGGCCATGTGATGGACTGGAGACTTGTTCAGGTCGTACCCCACCTCTCTTGTACAAAGACTGCTGGAGGCACCAGCTCCCTACAATCCAGAAAAGAAAAGCAGGTAAAGCAAAAAAGATTGGTGGATGGATGGATTTCATTTCTTCTGCTTTGTGCCTTTATCTAAATGTGACACATTTCTGCCAAGTAGAYGACTCATGTTTGGGATTTCACCCCAGGTAGCTAGTGGGAGTTGGTTTTGTCACCTCCTTCACTGCTGTGATCATGCCTGTGGTTTTCCTGCTTGGCACAAATTCACAAATCAGCAGAAGAGCAAAATGCCAACACCGCAGTGATGGGTTTACCAAACCTGTCGGAGCTACTTTCAGACTCGCTGTTCAGGGTTTTGGCAAAGTTTCTTAATAGAATTTAGCATTAGTTGTATTCTGTAGCAGTAAACATTTCACAATGAGCAAAAACAAGTTTTTTCTGGTATAATGGTATATTTTATTCTGTAGTGATGTTTTTATAACTACTCCTTAAATTTGTTGAGTAATTATTATTAGTAATTAAATGACTGAATGAATAAATATAGATGACTTTAAAATGCTATGATAGTGATTGCAGGCATTTAAAAATGCCAGTACAAGCATTAAAACCATCTTATTAAAAGATTTTTATTCTTTTTTTCAGTAATGTTTTTTTTAGATTTTTCTCTCTTTCTTAGGAGAGAGAATTAAAATATTA